AAAATAATTCGCAGATAATAATAGTAATATAATGATAGAAGTAGAGCCCAAGACCTACTGGTAGCTAATTTATCATGCATTTTAACATTCAGATTAAAATAACTTATCTGAGAATCTACTATTGGTGCCTAAAGATTAAAGTTAATCGCTCTTAAAGTAGTCTAAAATGAGTAGAAATATAAAATTTAGGCGCCAGCTAATTTGAATTACTATTATATTATTATGTATTTCTGATAAAATAGTATTGTTTTCAATAAATACTATAGAAAAAAATCTAGCCACAATTTTTTTAGAAATGACAATATCGTTAATCTCAAACATTAATCATGGTAGTTCACCTGCAAAAATTTTGAGTAACTGCTACTGTTTCCGAGAGATTAATCACAACATGCCACCATCCTCCAGGAACAAACATCGTTTCTCCTGGAGCCTGAATAACCTCAATTGGTGAGAATTCAGAAGGCCAATCAGCTGATTTAACTCTTGGATAAACATAAGTGAACCAGGAAACAGCTTCTCCTTTACTCTTCCCGCCATCTGCAAATGTCGGTTTAACTAACTCTTTCGGAGTAGTGGGAGGAAATAAACACCACCTAGACATAAGATATCGGAATTCATCCAAACTTTTACCGTTTGTATCCCTTTACTAGAGCGTTCCATGCACTTGTACCGAGAGGATCTATATGAATTCCTGTTCCAGACCTAGCTGGACCCATTACAAACCACCTAAATTGGAAGAAAGACGGTAATAAAAGAGTAGATTAAAGATACCTGTAAGGTGGCCTTTTCGATTCACCACCATAATGAAATATATCTTCTCTAAAATATTTGGGCACAACATAGTCCTCCAATATTTTTTTGCATTTGGGATGCTACTTCGAATCTTACTTAGGAAATAAGTACCTCGGCAAAGCGTCCATCGAAAATATAGAGTGGACTATCATCTTTGCTATTTCTCATATATTCGACAAAATATTTCATTTTGATTTTGACAGAATAGCCATTGTCATCTTCTCCACACTTAAAGCGCTGATTTCTGTACTTTTTTGCGAGTCTCTAACTGTGAAAAAAAGAGAAAATAAACCTCGACAGTCCATTTTTTATTAGCAGGCCAAC